TAACTCCTAAGGAATACTTGTGCAATGTTTGGCTATCATCCCATAATACTAACCCTACTAAGTACTCCTTTGAAACTACCTTAGTTATGCACTTCATCTTTAGACCTCATTATAATGCATAGTAACAAATAAGGAAATAGTCCTGTACATTATTTGAATTATAAGGAAACCCATTCAACATACATGCATGCATTCAAATCTCATCATAATGCAAAGGAACCATTCTATGACATCCTACTAAGTCTACTTGTGCAATGTGGAAGTGAAGTCCCATACCCCCACTCCTACTAAGTAAACTCACTAAGAAGTCATAGTATAGTTCATGTCTAATTCATTATCTTTATTATATAGGGAAAAGTTGCCATAACCGACATACACCATGTGAGCTACATGGAATCCAGTGTCTGTAACCCCACATCGAAAAAAGGTGTCCTACTTGCCTAAGGTAGAACTAAATATATAGCTATAAGGTGGATCCACTAGCTAAAGACCTATGTGGGCACATAGTTTATGGGATATGGAGATTGCTTCTAGAAACCCGCTCTATTGCATTAGCGGAGGGGCTTCTATCTCATGAGTATCACCTGGATGACCCAACCTATTGCATTGGCGAAAGGGCCTTTTCCTCATTGTCCATATCCACTCGGTGCTAAGCATTATTTCCCAAAATTCTGTAACACCCCGTATCTGAAACAAACCAAAAATGCAGATTTTGAGAAGTTGCAGGTGCAACCCACAGCCCGTGCTGGTGGTCCATGGTTTACCACTGCAACCCCTCCCCAAACCCAACTTAGAAAATCGGCTAAGTATCGACCCACGAACAGACCCATGGTCAGTAAGTCAGACCACGATCCATGGTCTGTGTCCGTGGATTGAGGCCCCCTTTACCCAGCCTCTGATGCAAACGACGGCCGACCAGCATGGACCATCGTTCGATCCACGGTCCGTAGGTTTGACCGTAGGTGAGGGTCAGTAGCCTAAGAGGAAAAATATTGATTGGGTGAATTTCAAATGGTCATAAGTCTTTGCACAAAAGGAATTATGTGTCCCATTACCTATGATATGATAGATAATTGAATCCTCTTTCCAACACCACCGAGTTTATTAAAATCTCACCTCTGAGTAAAGAGTTATGCTTGTTTTAGTGAAGCCTTGTCGGGCAGACTTGACCTACGACCCCAATCTACGGACCGTAGATTGACCTACGACCCGTAGGCCCCGTCCGTCGATCACTCCAACAACAGTTAAGTCATGGGTCTTTTGGTATTTTCCTATTTTGTTGGACCCCTAAGATACGTCGTTTAGACCCTAAATTATGAGGTTTTAGTCAGTTTAAGCCTAGAAACATAACTAGAACTTACCTAAGTCAAATCATTAATCAAAACATAGAAAATTAGAGCGTAAGAGGAGAAGAGAAGTCAAGAACCCTAGTTCAAGAATGCAACAAGGTTCCATCAGTTCCATCCCCGAAATCTAAAGATTTCTCCGTGGAATTCGTCACCTGGTATGTGGGATTTTACTAGTGGGTTCCTTTCGCCCATTAGGTCCCCAGATTTCAGTCAGATTCTTGATTCCCTTATCATGACTAGACCTAGGGTTTCTAGAACTTCAGTAGGTTTTCATGAATTAGTTATTTACACGTTCCAAATCAGAGTAGTACATTAATATTCAGTTTAATGCAAGAATTCCAGAACCCTAGCTATGTATTTCTTTAGTTCTTGAATTACACATGCTAGGTCAGATATTTCAGTTATTCAGTTATACATGCCTCACTTATTAATGCATCAATATCAGTTTAATTGTTGCATTCTCAGTTTGCATGTTCAGTTGAGCTATCCAGTAACTTACATAAATTCAGTCGTAATGTGTTAATTACTTAATCCATTGGGAGTAGCATAATACTGAGTTGGACTAGGGTTCAACGTACCCATACAGTCCCAAAACTACTAGCCACGTAGGTTGTAAGTCTCCTCTGTGGGCATCATTTTAATGATCACGCCAGCATGCCTCTATAGCTCTGACAGGGTATATTGGGTCCTCTCGATGGGGCGTATAAATCGGACTCCACATTTAGCTCATATGGTTTTATTATCGGTTATTAGTAGCTCCCACAGTTCAGTCAGATTTTATTGCATTGACCATTTATCAATATATTCAGTATTCAGTTTCAGCATGTTATAAATTGGTCACTGCATTCAGTTATCTCAACATTCAGTATCTATATCATGTTCAAATTATATCATTGCTTATTTGCTTTGTTCAGTTATATGTTATTTCAGTTGTATTCTATCATGCATGCTTAGTACCTTTCAAGTACTGACACATACTCTGCGCTACATCTTCTCGTGATGTAGGTTCAAGTTCTCAGCATCCAGATCACGCTTAGATCGGTTCCTGATCTCCTGTTCAGCAGAATCAGTGGTGAATCCTCATTCTCTGAGGACAATAATTATGAGTTTCTTTTCAGTATTTTTAGTCCTTTAGTTTCAGTTTTTGCTAGACTAAGCTGGGGCCTGTCCCAATATTTCTAGTCAGTTAGAGGTTATTTTCAGACATAGTTAAATTCAGCTTAGTATTGAGTTAATATCTTCTTTGTATTAAACTCATCATTTTTCATATATCTCAATTATAGTATATGGGTATTCCCCATCTTTTAATTTTATTTATGATTTAGCTTCCACATGAGTTTATTATCTTTAGTATTCTCATGATCATGCCAGCAGGGTTAGCTTGGGATCACTTGTGGTCCTAGGTCCCGTGTCCGCGTCTCGGGGGTAGTCTCAAGGCGTGACAAACTTGGTATTAGAGCACTAAGTTTAAGTGTCCTAGGATGTCTGAAAAGCCTCACTAGGTAGAGTCCTTTTCATGGATGTATAGTGCGCACCACATCTAATGAGAGGGAAGCTACAAAGTGTCTTAGGTAAAATCTTCATTTTCTTGTTACTCTTATCGTGCGTAAGGTATGATCTAATTCCGTTCTAACTCGATGTTCTATGTTTCAATGATCATGCCTTCTCGTAGAGCAAACGCCAGGAATGCAAACGCAGCTCCTCCAGTCCCTGATCAAGAAGTGTCGAATGCAGAATTCAGGAACATCATTCAGATGTTGGCTCAGAGTGTGGCCAACCAGAACAATCAGCGGGCTCCAGTTCCGATAAATGCCAATGTTGGGTCAGCAACAGCTAGAGTGTGAGACTTTGTTAGGATGAATCCGCCAGAGTTCTTAGGATCGCAAGTTGGAGAATATCCCTGATGAGTCCACAAATTGGACTCATTTAGGGATTTATTTTGATAGAAATAGTGTCCTCAAATGCTTATTTTGTCTCAATATCTGATGAAAACTCTTAAGTTTCAGGTATTTCAAGTTTTGGTGGAAGTATGGACACTTAGGCGCAGAAAGGAACAGAAAGGCTGAAAAGAACGAAGAAGCTGAAGCCTGCGTATCACCAAGCACACTTGGCGACTCACCGAAGGGATGCACTCCGCCCTTTGTTCCAGTACGCGAAGCCCTGAAGGAGAAGGATAAAAAAAGCGATGAAAGGAGTAGTCGACGCTTCACCGAATAGTTACACGAAGCAGTACTATACCGCCCAATGACACAGAGCACGACGACGCTGAAGGCTAGTGCAAGACGAGACGAACTACACCAAAGGGTGAATCACCGAGTTAATCGGTGATTCCGACTAACCTCACCGAAAGATCCACCAGGATTATTTTCTGAACTCTATAAATACTAAACTTGTTATTAATTTCTAAAGAGTCAAACATTAATTTTAATTTCCAGAATAGAATAGTACTTTTTAGATATTTTCTCTCAAGTTTGGAGAGGGTTTTGGAAGACTTGATGAAAGAAGGATTTCATCGTCCCTAAGTTGCAAATGGGTCTTCTCCATTCTTCTTCCTTTGCTTAAATAAAGGTTTAATTTCTTATACCCATTTGATTTTAGTATCATTTTAGGTGTATTTTATTATTTTTTGATGTGTGGCTAAAAACCCCCATTCTTGGGGTGTGATTTAGCAAATATGTGTTGATATTGTTGTTGGGTCTTGCTTGATGATATGTTAGATGTATTTTAATGGTGATTTCACCTAGTGGTTGTGGTTTAATTTAATGGGTTTGTAGTGGCAAATACAAAACCATCCATGTGTTTTCAACTTGCCCGAGAGGGAGGTCGCGAAATCAAGACCACTAGACTGATGGCCTAAGGAGTGGGTCGACATGAGGTTCAACCCGAGAGGGTGAGCCCTAGTCCCATATCCTAACACTCAGCTCGAGAGAGTGAGTGGGTTAAGGCATAGGCTGGCCTTCAGTGCGGCAAATGGGTGTACCGAGAGGAACGCATTTGAAACGGGGTAAGTTTCCCAAGAGGGAACTTATTTCCATCTAAAGCTTAGCCTAGTCACTATTATCTTGAAAAATTCCTATCGAAAGCATGTACCCAACGATTTATCTCAACTTGTATTGCGGTGACACCCCAAGAACTTTTCCCCATACTTGATTTTATTGTTATTTTTACTTCTTGTGACAAAAACCCCAATTGATATTTGGCACTCACTACAACATTTTATGTCTACAAACACCCTAGAAAAGTGTGGCCTAAACTATGAAAAAGTGTGGCCTTTGATAAAAGGCCACACTTTTTTACTTTAAGAAACGCTTTTCCAGGGTTGGCCGAAAGAGGCGTAACCTTAGAGTTTAGGCAAGGCCACGCTTTCCAGTACCTCATATAGCAACATTTCTATCTCATACAACTACACTTCCAAGTGTGGCCTTTGCTTCCTTATTGCCCACGATTTTAAAGTGTTGCTTTTTCTATCTAATGTATGACAACACTTTGAAGTGTAGTCCTTGCCCATGTGCATACCACAATTTACAATCCTATGGCTAACTTTTAAGTGTGGTAATATTATTTTGGCTATAAAATATTTATATGCCACAATTTCTAATTAAAAAACACCAATATTGTTTTGCAATAAATAATCTCAAGCATTAAATTGGCTAATAAGTAATTCAAATATATAGATTTGCAATAAACTTCAAAAGATAGTATGTCTTGTGTACATACACATACTTATAAAGCAATATTCTAAATATGTGTACACAATAGTGCAAAAAGTACTCTTACAATAGTTCAATATATTCTAGCAATGAATATATTTCACAAAATCAAACATAATGTATTCAAACTTTTACAATAGTTCAAAAACTCTTCATCATCCACTTCAGCGAGATCAAATTGATTTGTGGCGACCCTTCAAATGTGATCACCTCCATTTCCCTACACATTTAGAATGTACACAAATCAGATTGCAGCAGTTATAGAAGAGGCAAGAAGTTCCAAATTCCAGATTGCAGATAGCAGATCTTTTGAGTTCCAGATTGCAGATTACAGTTCCAGTTTGCAGATCGCAGATTTATTGAGTTCCAGATTGCAGATTACAGTTTAGATATACTAATACAGGTTAACATAATTAAAACAGAGAAGAGTTTAGATATACTAATACAAGTTGACATAATTAATACGGAGAAGAGATTCCAGATTGCACTAAGTCAATAGTACTTCTTCAATGTTTGCAACAAGACCAAAATGTCCATACAGATACAAAAACATCTCAACACTATATGTTGTACACGGTCTCTTAGACGAGAGACCACATTTACCCAGACAAACTAAAGCAGCAACGGATGCACTCTGCTTCACACGTTTTGTTTAGTTTTATACCAGCTATGTACAGAAAAAGCTAGCTCGGATTTGAGCATGTGTACATACCCAAGTTATGTCCTGCACCAACATTACGGTATAGAAAAAGTTCGGATCACCTCAATTACTGGTGCCTGGCACATTGGACATTTTCCGTCCCGCTGGACAAACTTTTCTGCATATTTTAAACATGTGCACATGTGTCCACACCTGCATCAATTTCAAATCAATAATTCCCTTGAGCTTACCAATTAAAACATCCAGAAAAAAAAGAAAAATGGAAGGAAGAGGAGTCTCTAACGCTGCTAAAAAGAGAATCATCGATGCTTGAGAAATGAATGGAAAAGGATGTTCATATATATATATACTAGATGGACAGCACGGGCCCAACAAATTAATTTAAAAATTGATTTATTCTCAGTAGAAATAAAAAAAAAAGTAACCTATGGAAAAACAAACATAAAGCTTAAGCTCATATGCTAATATCATTGAGGTAATCAGATGTCATATATGTAGAACAATTGATATGGAGGAAGATCCCATAATACAAGAAAAGCATAACAGATGCAAAAGTATGTTCAAATACGTATATTGTACTCCAGTTTAGTTGTTCATATTGAAAATGCCTTGATAGGTAATATAGGCATTACATATTGGAGAAACTATAAATGACTACAATAAGGATCCTTTAAAAGCCTGCTAGCCTGAATATTCGAGTTTATCAGCATCTAGAAATTAATTACCACTTCAAAATTAATCCCAACTAATTTCAACTACAAACATTTATCAGCTAAAAGAGAAGAAAAAGAAGAATATTCATCATTGAATTCTCTAAAGAACAAAACCTTGTCGTGAAACACACCAACAAGCGCATCTAATTTTCCAATCAGCTCATCGACAGGCAGAGTTACAATAGATGTATCCTTTATATGGCTCAGTAAAGAAGTAGAAGGATACATGTTAAGGGACAACTGACATTATAGTTTAAAAAGTTCAAAAACTTATTGCAGCTCAAATTGTGATATACTGTTATATTTAAAGCTCCAACAACAACAAGTGAATCAAGATAACATTCCCAGATATGAAAGAATATGACAACGGGTGATTGTTGGAATGGTCCCCTTTGATTCTCAGATGCAAATCAATGGGTATTTAAATAGACATAAGATCAACTGCAAAAACTCTGGAACACATAATTATATCTAGATTGACATAGGCTACTCAATATTTTCCTCATTATAATGATAACGATGATCACGACTTAGAAAATCAGGAACCACCGCGTAGTATTTCCCAATTGCAACTTTATGACGAAGTGAAAAACGCAACAGATTAAATCTTGGAGAGCCATAAGAAAAATAGAACTGCCAACACGTTAATTGCTGGACAAACAGATGATGAACACCCTGATTTCTACCTTAGCATACAAAAACGTACATATATATCAGTGGATCACTTTGAGGCTGCAATTCAGACAATTTCTAAAGGAATTCTTATCATAGAGATGTTACTATGACTAATACGATCACCTTTGTTACTCTCAAAGAAACCATTGGAATAGCTCTAAGAGCAAGTAAAAAAAGTATGTGATTAGATAATGTCGTTATACACAAGTTTACACACAAATAGAAGCCTCACACTTTTACTTCTAGAGAGAGTTTAAAGGAAAGTAGACCCTTCTTTATTGCGCCGATCGTTAAGTCATGCCAAAAAATGATATAGAAAATGAGTTAAGATGCAAAATTCAGATTAGTTTATGAATGTTCTAAAGTCTGATAAAAATAGAGAGCAAAAATAATTATACCTATAGAGAATTCAACATTTTTTTATTTATCAAATATTATGTGCTTTTAAAAAAAGTTAGAGCTCAAAATTGAGAAATAAGAACTACTAACACTCGTGCAAAAAAGAACAATCACAATTTAAGGTATCTATCATAGAAGATGACTCTTTTTCCAATTCAATACTCTTTTTCTTTAATCACGGGGAAAAAGCTAGAGACTATTGTAAGAATATTTTCAACTTTTGAGTTAATCAAGACGGCAAATTTACAAAAAATCCATCCAGTTAAACGTGTATCGATTTTTCCAGTCCAAGATATATGCTTTCTGTATGGAATATATAATGCTGATACAAGAACCTATTTTTAGATGTGAAATATAACCTGTTGAACCAGCATATCGATTGAAGGCTGCAGAATCATTTTGACGAACCGTGCGTTGGAGCTCAACTTGCATCTCCATACACTTTTCGAACATCCTCTGCTGAAGCCGAACCATGTCATTCCTCAACTCATGTGTGACTTCTCAATCCTGCAGTAGGTCAAACAAGTATGGAGTGCTTTTAATCTTGTGGTCTTAAACTTGCCATTTATGGTGGAGTCCTTTTAATCTTGTGGTCTTAAACTTGCCATGTATGGAGTTGGAATTGGAAAACTTACTAAATATAAAAAGAGGCACTCTTTTTTGAAACAGACTAAAAAATAAAGTAAGACACTTAAATTGGGACGGAGAAAGCTACATAAATCAACTTCTCTAATTAAATTCAAGTAGAATTGTCAAGGAATATAAAGGTGAGCTTACTGTTCCTATCAACTGCAGAGAAGGTTCCACATGTAGTGAAGTCATGGCAAAGGAATTAGATTCACTATTTATCTAAGGTCCATCTTGATTGTCATATTCTTGAAGCAGCTTGTGTTCCATATCATCAGGGGATGATAATGTTCCACCCATATACCATTCAGAAGTGTGTCCTTGCCTTTCAACGTAAGATTGTATTAGCTGGTCTAAACTCTCACAGAAGCCACTTTGAAGCAGATTAGAGACACGCCTCCTACAACATTAAGGAACCAGTTAAATCGCTTAAGCATTAAATTTTGGTAGAAAATGAATAATCCTGTGGTAATGAGAATCATTTTCCTGCTTAAAAGTTCTCGAAGTTCAATATTGTAAACATTATCATCATCAGGCATATAAAATGAATCAACCCTTCTCATGGATCCAGCATTCTGACTAGAAGGCATATCCAGCCAATCATTACTCTGCCAGTCCTCATGTTGTTCTTGCTCATAAATTTGTTCTTCAGTATCATTTTCTGAACTTTCTGGATACCAATGGTTTGCAGAATCTTCCTGCCAACTTCAGCTCATGTTTTCTGTAGTATTGTTTGTCGTTTCATCGTGTTCAGAAGAAGACATTTGCTCACTTTTTCCATGTTCGATAACTAGTTCATATGGCGCTTCTTGTTGTCGCAAGTTTCTTTCCTCATGATCCGTGACAACTTCTGGGGATCTTCTGCCTGAGATGATAAAACTTGCCACTCATAATCCTCAAAAGTACTTCTTATCAAGCCATGAGAATGACCATATACTTCATGAGTATCACTTGCCTCACTTCTTGGTGCATCATTATCATGAAAGGGTTCATGGGCTTCTCGTACATGCCCTCGAGAACCACTTTCAACAGCTGCACCATTCTCCGTTAAATTCCTAATGTCATTATTCTCTCTTTCAGGTACATTGGAAATAAATTCAAAATTTGATGTCTCTTGCTCAATATCCTCCTGTCCTCTGATTTGATTTGAATGTTCAGCTATTTGATCACCCGAATTTTGCTGGTTTACATCCTCAAATGTAATGCATTCTGAGTTCCCTATTACATGAAATCCATTAGTAGTCTCCATCTCTTCACTATCGAGTTCAAATTGATCACATGATTCATCAATTATCTCTTGTTCGTTATTGATTAAGACTGTTCACTTCGATAATGATGATGATTCAGGTCATCTGTAGAAGAGGCGTTCAGCTGCACATCTTTTGTAGAAATATGAGCATTATCGACCAATCTGGATCAAATCTCATTCCTGTTTCACACACAATTTTAAGACATAACATATGACTTTTGGGCAGAAGAAATTATTTGCTAGATTTCTGTGTGCACTTAATTACTAAAAAAAGTTACAAAAGAAAAGGACAACTAAGCAGTTTCTAACAAAGATTGATAGACTATGGCGAGAGCCATTAATTTCGATAAAGCAAAAGAGAGAAATCAAGTGAGTTACTGCATTTGAAGCAGGTAATCCATGCACTGGTTTATCAAAAAGGCGAACATTCCAAAGAAAAATACTTTGATCTACCTTAAATAAGATACAGTATGACTTTGTCTCAGTATGCCCAATTCACTCGCGGCGTCTGATGTAGTTCTTTCATCACTGGTCATCAATCTCTTGTCCGCAGAAATCTACCATTGAGCAATGACTAGGAGAAGGTTTGAAACACTATCAGGAAAAGCCAAATGTTGCACACAAGAAGCTGGAAGCTAACAGGTAAATGAGATGAAGTAATCCAAATTTCAATGAAAAGTAGATTAATCTTACAGTCTACAGAATGCAAACCACCAAACGTCAAATCATATCAAATCCAATCAAATGATCTTGTTATTTATATTCACTCCACTCAAAAAATAAACAGTCTTATCAGGCTGGCCAAGTGCGTCTAGTTTTCAATCTAACTTTCCTTTTTCCTTTCAATTAATTTATCTTTATGAATCCAATAGAAAATCTACAGCCATAATGATATATACAAGAACATACTAAAAGATTAAAAATGCACATTCCATGAAAAGCATTCTCTACTCAAGTTTTACCTGAATTCGGTAGCGGTAAGTGAAGTTTGATACAAGCTTACATTCCAATAAGCCCTGGTTTTCTCTTTGCCTTTCCTAACTGCAAAAGAAAAGAGTAATTTAATAGTTTGATCAACATTGCTAGTAGCAAGAAGAAGATACAAGCCAGGAAAAAAAGGATTTTGGCTGTGAGGTAAAATGGTCTGTTCAAGAGGACAATGGATAAATAAAGCGTAGCAACCATCACTCCACAATCTAGAAAGTATACCTCTTTACACTAATCAGCCCATTTATACTTATATAGTGATTAATGCTCAGGTAATACAACTACGAGCTAAAATCAACAAAAATCGTATCAACAACACAAGAATATCAAAACCCTAAAGCTAAAATTTAGACTTTCAAAGATAGAATTTCTTACCTAATAAACCATATTCCAACAAAATCCTTTCAACAAGAAATTGTGAAATCGTGTTCTTCAGCGAGTAACTCTTCATCTCTTCAACATGAAATCGTGAAATCTGTGAGAAAGTTTGACAGAAATCGTGTTCTTCAGACTTAGCTTGGAGAGAAAATCGTGTTCATCAAATTGACAGAAAATTTTTCTGATTTCAGGGAAAAGAAAGTCTTACTGTAAGCGTATGTTCTTCAAATTTATCTTGGAGCGTATGTCAGCTGCTGGAGCGTATGTTCTTCTTCAGCTGGAGCGTATTTTGTTCTAATGTTTTATTAATTATTTTTTTTGCCCAATAAAAGTTGGGGGAGAGTTAAAAATGTTGGAGGGAATATATATTTTAGTGAAAACTTTAAGGCCACATTTGTAATGTGTTATATTTACAATTATAAAAATAGGACACTTTAAGAGTGTGGCCATATATGTAAATAATTGTTGCCAATTATATCATACTGTAACAACGCTTATAAAGTGTATCTTATACCATTAAAGAGTACACTTTACAAGTGTTGCCAATATTATCGTAGCTAAAAGTTAAAAACTTGGGCTACGCTTTAAAAGCGTCCCCAAAAATATTTTAGGCAACACTTTACAAGTGTTGTCCAGATTTAGTGTGGTCGTAGGCCTAAAATGTTGTAGTGACTTTCGTATCACCCCCTTTAATTTACTATGTTTTTACTCGTTAATGTCTTTAGCTACGACTAATTAGAGCTAAACTTTATTTTTCTATTAATTCTCAAAACCACTCCCTTAGGAGAGACCCAACCTTTAGTTGGGTTAGTACGTTATCAACGATCGTAGACACTCATACCATAGGTTAGTGTCGTTGGTCATGATAGGAATTAAAATGGCGCCGCTGTCTGGGATTGGTGTTATTTGGGAATTCGTAGTTAAACAAATTTTTTGATTCTTTCTAGTTTTAGTGTTACTAATCTAAATTGTAGTTTTGTTTTGCTAGTTTGAATATCAAAGCAGGAAACTAAGGATGGAAAACCATTATGGATACCACACGGATCATCCCCTTCTGAAACTATTGAACCTCAGGGACAACCTCTTGACCTTTAAACAGGAAGGGGATGAGACTATTCAAGAAAAGTGGCTGAAGTTTCAAGAGGTGCTACAACCATGCCCATCTCACGGGATGATAGACAAGGGGCTACTGGAGTGCTTTTACATGGGTCTAGGACCCGAGAATAGAGATATAGCCGATCAAATTTGCGAGGGAAGTATGCTACACCAGCCCTATGAAGTTGTAGCAAAACTCCTTGATGCCATGGTAGAAGCCAACAAAGAAGCCGAAAACAAGAATGAGTGGGACGCTCTAGCTACCCAATTGAATGCTCTATCTACCAGAGTCACAAAATTGGAGGTACAAGCCATGGGGAAAGAAAAGAACTCCTCCCTTCGAGAATGTAGACAAGGGAAAAAGCAGAGAGGTATACATGATGATGAAGCCCTGTCACTCATTCAACAAAAGATTGAGGAACATGAGAAGATATTGAATGAGATGAAGGAAAACATTGAAATGCTAAACGAAGCGTCAGCCTCTCACTCCATGACAATTCAACTGCATGATGCTCAAATGACCCATTTAATGACTGGTCACTATCCTCCATTAGCCGAAGATTCACCTAATTACACCATGGGTGATTCCGAGGACAAAGAGTAGTCTTTGACTTGCGTCGTGCCACGACGTTAACTCATGCGCTGTTTGGGGGGCAACCCAAAACCACATATTATCTTATATTGGCGTATTAGTAAAATAATAGTGTCTTAGTTTTATAGATTGAAATGTAATAGGTGCCAATGAGGTGCAGAATGGCGAGCAGCAGACCCAGCTGGCGAGTCCCCGAAGAAGCCGACGATCAAATCTATTCCGCTGTTTCACTCAAGATATCTTCAAAATCTGGAGTTTGTAAAACTCGGCGAACTAAGGACAGTTTCGGCGAATCCCCCACCTGAGTCTGCTACTCTCCATTCTGCACCTCTTTGGCACCTATTACACTTCAATCTATAAAACTAAGACACTATTATTTTGATGAGTACACAAATTGGACTCATTCAAGGCTATATTTTGATAGAAATAGTGCCCTCATATGCTTACTTTGTCTCAATATCTGATGAAAACTCTTAAGTTTTAGGTATTTGAAGTTTTAGTGGAAGCATGGACACTTAGGCACAAAAAGGAACAGAAAGGTTGAAAAGAACGAAGAAGCTGAAGCCTGAGCATCGCCAAGCACACTTAATCACCGAAGGGATGCACTCCGCCCTTTGTTCCAGTATGCGAAGCCTTGAAGGAAAATGATAAAAAAGGCGACGAAAGAAGCAGCCGGCCGCTTCGTCGAATAGTTCCACAAAGCAGTACTATACTGACCAATGGTCCAGAACGTGAAAATGCTGAAGGCAAGAGCGAAACAATGATAAAATAGAAGAAGGGCAAGTCGCCGAGTCATTCGGTAACATCGACTAACCTCGCCGAGCGATCCGCCAACACTAATTTCTGAAGTCTATAAATACTAAACTCTCTATTAATTTTAGGGAGTTGAATTATTATTATAATTTTCAGAATATAATAGTACATTTTAGGATAATTTTCTCTCAAGTTTGGAGAGGGTTTTGTGGGAGACTTGAAGAAAGAAGGATTTCATCTTCCTCAAGTTGGAAGTGGGTCTTCTCCATTCTTCTTCCTTTGCTTAAATCAAGGTTTAATTCATTATAGCCATTTGATTTTATTATCATTTTAGTTGTATTTTTTTATTTCTTGATGTGTGGCTAAAAACCCCCATTCTTGGGGTGTGATTTAGCAAATATGTGTCGATATTGTTGTTGGGTCTTGCTTGCTGATAGGTTAGATGTATTTTAATGGTGATTTCACCCAGAGGTTGTGGTTGAATTTAATGGGTTTGTAGTTACAAATACAAAATCACTCATGTGTTTACGGCCTGCCCGAGAGGGAGGTCACAAAATCAAAACCACTATACTGATGGTCTAAGGAGTAAGTCAGCATGAGGTTCAGCCCGAGTGGGTGAGCCCTAGTCCCATATCCTAACACTTAACTCGAGAGAGTGAGTGGGGTATGGCGTAGGCTGACCTATATGCGGCAAATGTGTGTCTGAGAGGAACACATTTGAAACAGGATAAGTTACTCGAGAGGGAACTTATTTCCATCTAAATCTTCGCCTAGTCATTATAATCTTGCAAAATTCCTATCGAAAGTATGTACCCAACGATTTTTCTCAAACTGTATTACGGTCACACCCCAAGAATTTTTCCTCATACTTGATTTTCTTATTATTTTCGCTGGTTATACTACTTGTGATTAAACCCTCAAATCAATATTTGACACTTTTGTGTTACCCCTCTTAGATTTATTATGTCTTTAATCGTTAATATCTTTAGCTACGACTAGTTAGAACAAAATTTTATTTTTCGATCAATTCTCAAAACCACTCCCTTGGAACACGACCCCAACCTTTAGTTGGGTTACTATATTATTGACGATCGTAGACACTCGTACCATAGGTTAGTTTTGTTGGTCACGATAAGCATCAAAATGGCGCCGCTGCCGGGGAGTGGTGTTATTTGGGAATTCTTGGTTTTTCTTAGTTTTAACTTTACTAATCTTAGTTGTAGTTTTGTTTTGCTTTTGTGAAGACTAACACAGAGAAACAAAAATGGATGAGCACTATGAATATCACACAGATCATCCTCTTCTGAAGCTATTGAACCTCAGGTATAACCTACTGACGTTTAAACAGGCAGGGGAGGAGACAATTCCAGAATTGTGGCGGAGATTCAAAGCAATTGTTCAGCTCATCTCATGGAATGCCTGATAAGACAATGCTAGATTGCTTCTATCAGGGTCTCGAACCCGAAAATAGAAGCATAGCTGAGCACCTTTTTAAAGGCGGAATGCTAAACCAACCCTATGTAGTCGTTGCAACACAACTTGATAAAATGGTTGAAACCAACAAAGAAGCCCAAAATAAATATGAATAGGATAAACTGGTGGCACAAGTAGATGTTCTAGCCAAACGGGTGACGGTATTAGAAGAGCAAGCCAGGGAGAAGGAAAATAACTTCTCCCTACGAGAGTGCAAACAGGGAAAGAGGCATGAGGGTGTGCAAAGTAACGATACGTCCTCATTCAGCCAATAAAAACATGATGAGCATGACAAGAAACTGAATGATATGAAGGGCAACATTGATATTCTAAAGGAAGTAACTACTTCGAACTCCATGACCATTCAGCTGCAGGATGCTCAACTCACCCATTTGAGGACGGGTCAGTATCCTCCGTTCGCCGAAGATTCATCTAATTACACTAAGGATGATTCTGAGGACAAAGAGTAGTCTTTGACTTACGTCGTGCCGTGACGTTAACTCATGCACTCTTTGGGAGGCAACCCAAAACCCCATATTACCTTTTATTTGTGTACTAGTAAAATAATAGTGGCTTCGTCGTGCAGATTGAAGTGTGGTAGGTGCCAAAGAGGTGCAGAATGGCGAGTAGCAAATCTAGTTGGCGAATCGCCGAAGACACTGGTGATCAATGCTATTTCACCATTTGAATCAGGGCACCCTCTGAGCCTTGAGTCTGGAAAACTCGGTGAGTACAGGAAATTTTAGCGATTGACCCACCTGATTGGCGTCCCCGGTGATCACCGCCGTTTGAACATCCACAGTTGCTCAGAAGTTCTGTAAAACTCAGTGAAGTAAAAATTTGTTTGGCGAAGCGCCGAATCACTCAGAGATCAAAGCGCTGTCACCAAATTGGAAAGAACTAGATAAGTTGTAGGCCAATGCACAAAAAGGTAGTTGATTAATCACTCGAGAGCGTGGGTTGAAGATAGGCGTATTGCATTGCTAAGAAAAGTTGCACAGAGCTTGATGAATCAATCAGCAATGCACCAAACATTCCCAACATACCTTATGCTTTATGAGACATCTGTTGAAGGACTCAACTCGAAACAACTACCTAACCAGGATTATTCTCTAGCCCAATCTCTTTCTTTCTTTAATTTGACCTCTGGATTATTATTATATATTTGAGGAGAAATGTTTTTTTTAATTGTGGTGGGGTGAGGCCCACAGTGTTTTTCTTGATTTAGATACTTGCATTTTAGTATACATTTGGGTTATCTATTTTTAATTGAGGTTTTAAAACTTCTTTGCGGTTGTTTGAGCTTGTGGCTCCGCTTATTTTTAATTGCAAAATGATTTTAACCCTTTCGAAATTTTTTGAATTTTTTGCACATTTTTGCTACCCTTCGCGAGTTGAATGTGTCTATTCTTT